TGAGTTCAAGAGTTCAAGGCTAGCCTGGTCTACAGAGTGAGTTCCAGGACAGCCAGGGCTACACAAAGAAACCCTGTCTCGAAAAACCAAACCAAAAAAAAAGTTGTTGACATGAAGCGTAACAAGAAAAGTCTAGCCGGGCACGCCTTTAATCCTAGCACTTGGGAGGCAGAGGCAGGCAGATTTCTGAGTTCGAGGCCAGCCTGGTCTACAGAGTGAGTTCCAGGACAGCAAGGGCTACACAGAGAAACCCTGTCTCGAAAAACAAAACAAAACAAAACAAAACAAAAACAAAACAAAACAAGAAAAGTCTAGTCTGGGTCCTACGAGGACAGGATACACTGAAGTTGTCCTCTGAGCTCCACTTGCACACTGTAGCACACACCCCACCTCCAACAGTAAAATAAGTAAGTTAAACTTCAGAAAATTGAAAAGTTACAGTCTGCCTGGTGTGTCAGCAGTTAAATCTCTATGAGTGGAGGCCAGGCTAGACTGATAGTCCAGGACAGCCAGAACTACATAGAGAGACCCTGTCTCAAAACAAAACAAGAAAAGTTACAGACACAGGTGCTGGAGCAATAACTGCTCTTCCAGAGAGCTGAGTGTGGGTCCTAGCACCTATATCTTCACAACCCCATAACTATAGCTCCAAGGGAATCTGACCCCTCATGTACTTGAGCCCATGTCCACTTATGCACACTTGGCAGTGTAAGGTTTTATAGAGAGCAAAATACACCCACTGTATTTTGATCACTGTAAAAGGACACATTTTATTCCATATAGGTTTATATTCAATAAAGGTGACTTTGTAAATTATGAATAAATTATGAATAAGTAAGTGACACAGATCAAATAATGTATCAAAAAGAAAAGAACCCCCATCTTCCTTCCTTCTCTTTCCACTGTTAACACTCAAGAACTTTTGCATTTTTTAAAAATCACTATTGCTTGAGTCAGCCCCTTCCCTGAAGCTCTAGACTTCCTTCTGCACTTCTTTCACATATAGTGAACTTCATTCAAAGCTCATGGACTTTATATGTGTTTGTCAAGGGATGACAGCTGGGTGGTGGTGACACAGCACTCAGGAGGCAGAAAAAGGCAGATCTCTGTGACTTCAAGGCCAGCCACAATAAACAGATATATAGACAAACAGGTAGATCAATAAATTAAGGCCTGTTGTATATCAAAGATGAAAGTGAGTCTTAGGAGTATAACACCAAGACAGACAGACAATATGATCCTGCCCTTGAAAAGCCTACAGACAACCGAAAGAGCAGTTACAATAAATGGTGACAGACAGATGAGAGAACACAGGAGTCCATGAGAAGGAAAGCTCACACATGACCACGGCAGTCCATGGGAAGGAAAGCTCACCAATCCAGGGGTCAGGAAGATTCGTGGAAGAAGCTGTCTCTGAAATCTGGAGCATAAGAAGTCACCAGATACTGGGTAC